GGTGAGGTAGCCGAGGGGTTAAGGCCATGGACTGCTAATCCATTGTGCTCTGCACCATGGGTTCACATCCGACCTTCGTAGACCAAGACCAAGACGTTTTCCTACAGAGTCGCTATGAGTCAGGATTGACTCCAGAATTGCAATGTTTAAGGTGTTCTGGTGGTGGCGTAGTGGGTCATGCGTTCACCAGCTACTCAACACGTTGGTGGTTCAACCCCGCCAGCTCCCCCTCAGGAAAGAGATGGGGCTGTCCGCTTCCTGTAAAGAGTGACAGCCTTGGGACCCTAGCGGGGACGTCCGCTCTGTCCTCTGGGGTCAAGACGAGTCAGAACCCACTCTACGGCAAGGGTTTTTCCGTGTGTTTGTCTACAGATAGGCCAATTCTAACCCCCAAAATCTGAAACCCCAAATACTGAACCCCTATTTGGCACCCCAAATGCTGTTTCTGAGGCAGAAGGGCCTTTAGATGGGTGGAGGCGAGGGGTGCGGTGAGCAGAGCAGGTGGTCAGAGACGGGGGTTCCAGCCGCACCGCACCGTGAGCTGGTCCACGGTCCGGGCTTCTCCTGTCCTGCCCCCGCCCAGCCCGCTGGTCCTCCCCTCCTACCCGCGAGGGTGTCCCCGCCTCCCCTCCTACAGGTGTGGGTGTCCCCGCCCCGTGAGGACGGCCCTGCTGGACTCACCTTCTTGCTGCTCCCTGAGAACCCGGTGGGGGGAGAGAGAAGGGAGGGGGGTCAGTGAAGTGGAGGGGAGCCCCCCTCCGCCTGCACCGCCGCCCCCCCCCCGCCAGCATCACTCACTCCTCGTATTCCTGCTCCTCAGTGTCCGACATCCTGGGGGGTCCTGAGGGGAGATGGGCCGAGAGAGGGGGGTCCTGAGGGGGGAGGGTCCGAGAGTGGGGGGACCCGAGGGGGGAAGGCTGGGAGAGGGACCCCTGGGTCCGAGGGAGGAGGTTATTGGGGAATCGGGACCCCTGGGTCCAAGGGAGGAAGGGCTGGGATCCTGGCCCCCCGGGTCTGGGAGAGGAGGGACTGGGGTGGGGACCCCTGAGTTTGAAGGAGGAGGGGCTGGGAGCCTGGCCACTGGGTGTGAATGGGGGTAGGGGGCTAGGGGCCGGGACTCCTGGGTCTGGGAGGAGGGGCTGGGGGCTTCACTCCGGGGTCCCAGACAAGCACGGGCAGCTTGAGGTGTCGTCCGGGCACAGCCCCGGGCGCCGCCCCCACCCCCACCCCAGCTGTCCTCCTTTGTCCTCTGACGTCCCCGGGAACCCGATCTGAGGGGATTAGCAGGCATTCAGGAGGGACAGTGGCCTGAAGACAATAGCTGCCCCACCCCCAGGGGCTATTTCTGGGGTGGCTAGAGGTAGAGACAGAGGACATTCCCTAATAAGGGGTCCCAGGGGGCTCATGCGCCCCTGCCGGCCAGCTGGCTGGGTGTCCTCCCACGTGTCCCCTCTTCACCTCCACCCGCACCTTGGCCCCATTCCATCAACAGCAATGTTTGCCCGCAGATCACATCCTGACCCTGAAATACTTAGACACCCTGACTGCAGGGTCCCGAGTCCCGCAGTGCCCAGGTTTAAGAGACCCCTAAATCCCAGTATCCCACATCCTCATCCCCCACTGACTGCTCCCTGATTCTGACACCAGCAAACCCTCATATATCAGGTTCTGAGACCCCAATCTCTGATATTCCCAGATTCTGGGACCCTCAAATCTTGACATTCTCAGATTCCAAGTCTCCAAATTCTGTTGCCCCTCAAATTCTGAGATCCCCAAACCCTGAGCTCCCCAATTCCTGAAACTGCAAAGTCCTGATTGCTCAGATTCAGAGGTCTCACTCCTAGCCCCCCAAAATTTGATTGCTCAAACACTGAACCTCTATTCTGGCACCCCAAAACATCAACACTCTTGACTGTGAGACCCCAATTCTTCATGCCCCCGATTATGGGCCTGAACTTCCTCCTATCCCCAGGACCTGCTTAATGCTGAACCCTCCAGAGTATGTGACCCCAAAATCCCAATACCCAAACTCTAAGGCTCACATCATGATGCCCCCAAATTATGAGAGACTAAGTACTGCCCCAATCATAACACTTCCAATTCTAAAGCTTCAATTCCTCAAACCCCAGATTTGGACAGACCCCCCTTTCCTGATACCCTCAGAGCTTAAGACCCCCAACCCTGATCCCCAGCCTGCCAGACCTCCAAGCTCAGGCACCCACAATTCCCGAGATTTTCCCAGCCTTCGGGTCACTGGGGTCCTGAAATGTTATACACTGGGACACTCCAATTCTGGCCCTGTAGGATCTTTAGTCCCAAATGCTGATATTCCTCCCATTGATCCTCAGTGCCCCCAAAGGCCACACCTCCCAAAATCTCAGATGTCAAGTCTTTCTGCCCCTCCACCGCTATACCTCCTGTCCACCTCCACCCCATCGCCCTCCTACCCCTCCCTAAGGACAATGCCTCAAGAGCCTGCACCCCCTTTACCTGAGGCTGGCTCTTCTGCAGTGAAGCGCTGGGCTGAGTGGTGTCCAGGCTGAAGGCCCCCCGGGTTTATAGCCGCAGGCTCAGCCCCGCCCCAGGGTGAGGGAGGGGGAAGAATTCTTTTCCCCAAACTCACAGTCTGCCCTGCCCCCTCTGGCTCCAAGTTCAGGTTCCTGACACCTCCCAGCGGCTGCCAGGCCCCTGTCCCCTCCCCATCCGCAGCCCTGGAACCCCAGGCTGAGTGGCCCCCACCTCGCTCTGCGCTATCTCCATGACGGGGCACAGCACCTGGCTCTGAAAGTCCCTGGGTCCAGCACACCCAGGGACCCTGCTGTCATTGAGCCAATGCTGACTCAGGGTGACCTCACGTTATGGACTAGAACTTCACTCCATAGAGTTCATTATGGATTGACCTGTATGTCCCTGAAGTATGTGTTATAATTCCTAATCTGTAAAGGAGCTCTGGTAGCGTAATGCCTAAGGCACTTAGCTGTTAACCAGAAGGCTGGCGGTTCAAACCCACCAGCCACTCCTCGGAAGGAAGGTTGGGCAATCTCCTTCCGTAGTGATACTGCCTTGGAAACCCAAGGAGGGGTAGCTATGAGTCGGGTGCGACTCGACGGCACACAACAACAAGAAGCAAAACAGTCGTGAAGGCAAGAGCTCTGGTGCACAGTGGTTAAAGCATTCAACTGTAACCCAAGGGTCGGTGGTTCAAACCCTCCAGCCGCTCTGCAGGAGAAAGACAAGGCAGTCTGCTTCCATAAAGATTGACAGCCTTAGAAACCCTCTGCGGCAGTTCCACTCTGTCCTCTAGGGGCGCTGTGAGTCAGAACCGACTCCAGGGCAGTGGGTGTGGTGTGGGTTATTTTAAAATATATGAGAATGGCACAGGAGTGAGCAGAGCCTAACTCTGCCGTCCACAGGGTCGCTATGGGCCAGAACTGATTGGATGGCATGTAACGACACAACACACCAGTGGACATGGCCCCACCTGGGAACCTGGTTTTCTTTATTATGCCGTTGAGGTGTGCCCTAAACCAAGCTGACAGAAGTGAACAGAGACAGACTGACGTCAGGGAACACGTAAGGGCCCCCGCCCAGAGCCGACAGAGTGAGCAGAAAGCTGCCCTGAGCTGCGCCTGCCAGGCCGCTGAACGGAGAGCCACCCGAGGGTTAAAGCCCCCACACCGACACCCGCTGGGATTTCATGCCGCACTGGGGAACCAGGACAGGGCGTCCTTAGCTGTAATCTTTACGGCAGGCCTTCTGACCATCGTGCTGCCGAGTGGGTTTGAACCCTGAACTTCAGCACAGTAGTTGGCTGGGCACATGCTGTCTGCCCCACTCAGGGCCTTGGTGGAGCTGGTCTTGGAAAGGGCACTTCCTGGGTCCCTCTGTGGGGCCTTCTCCTGGGTCTCTCTGACCCTCTAGCTCCAAAACCATTTGAGTTCTGTCTCTGGGACGGGCACGTGTGTGTCCCCATCCTCCTCAGCCTCCTCTCTCTTTGTCCATCTGTCTGTCTCCCCACCCCCACCCCTTTGTCCAGCACCAAGATTCCAGTCTGGTGACAACAGGCGCTAAAGCTGGGAAGCAGGTGTGTGGAGGGAATGGGAGGGGGTGACGGGGTGTGAGTCAGGCCAAGTGCAACCCACGCTCCCACCTTGTATGCCACGGGTCTTTTTTGGTATTCCCTTCCCCCCTCCCCCTGCAAGCCATGACCTTGAATTCCTCTCCCCTGCAGGCTCCCTGCCCCACCGCTTTTGTCTCTGCTGTTCTCGGGGTCTGTCTCCCGTCTCTATCTGGGGCCCTCTCGGGAGTCTCCGGGGCCACCTGTGTTCTTCACTCCGCACCTTCCCTGCCTGCATTTCTGTGTCCGCTCTCCTGTGGTCTCTGCCCGTTGGCCTCTCTCGGGGCCCATGTCTCCTGGTGCCGTCTGTGTCCGTCTCCCTGCATCTGTCTCTCTTTGGTTCTACGTCTGTGCTCAGGCCTCTAACTCTCTAGGTCTTTCTGGGTGTCAGACCTCATCCTTAGAAGGGAGGACGGTGAGACGCCATCTCTAGGACTTAGGTCATGTGGTCAGAAGGGAGCATTCTATGGAGGACATCATGCTCGGTAAAGTGGAGGGTCAGCGAAAACGCGGAAGACCCTCAAGGAGAAGGCGTGACACAGTGGCTGCAACATGGGCTCCGACACAGCAGCGGTTGTGAGGCTGCTGCGGGACCTGGCGGTGCCTGGTCAGTGGTACATGGAGTCACTATGGATCGGAACCGACTCAGTGACGCTGAACAGCTGGGAGGGGCGGTTGCGTGTCTTTACAGTTCTCCCTCCTTGGGTCTGTTTCTGCCTTACAGGGTGTCTGGCATGTCCATGTGCGTACCTCTCTGTGTTTTCCTCTTTGTCCTTCTTTCTCTGTGTCTCTGGCTCAGTCTCTCACGGTATCTCTCTACCTCTTTGGCCTTGTTCTCAGCATCTCTGTTCACCCCTCCCATCCACCACAGAAGTTGAGGACACTGGACTCTGTCCCTGACTCGCTGTGTGGCTCTGAAGACACCCTGCTCTCAGTTTCCGGTCTCTCTCACGCCCAAGCCCCCAGGTGGCAGACACGCAGTCACCCTCAGCTCAGAGAGAAGCTTCTTTATTCCTCGGGGCCATTCTTAGGGCCAGGGCAAGGGCGGGTGGGCTCAGCCCTCAAATTTTTTCTTACGGCCTTCCATTCCGCTCAGAGCATCGATATTCTTGCGCCAGTCTCCCACCTCCCGGTTTTCCTGCGGGGGACGGACAGGAGGTTAGGACTTCTCCCTGGAGTCCAGTCCCTCAAGGAGCCTCCATCTGCCCTCCATCCTGCTGGGCTGTTCTGCTAAGACCTGCCCGAGGAACTGGTTCTGGGGCACTTCCTGTCTCCCACACGCACTTCCTGTCTCCCACACGCACTTCCTGTCTCCCACACGCTCTTCTTCTCAGTGAACTTCCTGTCTCCCACATGAACTTCCTGCCTTTCACATGTACTTCCTGTCAACCACATACCCTCCCAATCTCCTCCCCCCACTTCCTTCCTACTGTATTTTGTTTTCCTCTTCCACTTCCTGTCTCCCTCATGCACTTCCTGTTTCCCTTACATACTGTCTTCCTGTTTAGTTGCTCTCTGCGTATTAAACTTCCTGTCTTCCCTTCTTGTCTCCCTTTCACTTCCTGATCCACCATGCATTTTTCTCTCGTATGCACTTCCTGTGGTCTTATGCGCTTCCTGACTCCTTGCTACTTCCTCTCTCTCTCACACACTTCCTGTCTTCCCCTTCTACTTCCTGTCTTCCTCCTGCATTCTCTGTGTTCCTCCTCTATTTCCCTTTGAGGACTACGTACCAGCTGCCTTCCCTATCAACCCCATCACTGCCTGCTTTCAGGCCATGTCCTTGAATTGTGGCCCCCACACCCCCACCGCCCCTCACCCCAGCACCCCGTCCTGGCCCTAGCCCACACTCACCTTCTCGGTATCTTCCTTCTTCACCTGCTTGAGGTGGGCCCGCAGGTCCAAGGTCTCCTTGGCCCGGGCACCCAGCAGCGCCTGCATCATGGCGTCTGCTGAGATGCGCACCCTCCGCAGGGTCGGCCTCTTAAACTTGCCCCGAAGATCGTAGATCTTCTGGGTCAGATCTGCGATCTGGAGGCCAGAGGGGAGGTAGCGGCCCTTCCGCCTGCTTCCCTTTCACCCCGTCCTTCAACCCTACACTCCCTTCCTCTCCGTATCCTGCCCTCCAGTGCCCAGGTCTCGTCCCGGCTCTTCTCAACACTTTCAGAACAAATCCGAGCTCCTCATCCTTGAACCCGAAGCCCTCCCTGGTCTTCCCCAGCCTCATCTCTCAAGACCAGGAGACACACCCCAGCCCAGCTACATGTTCTTTCCACTCATGGCCTGTCCCTCAAAGACACACACATGTTCTGCTTTGACACCTCCTGGCTTTTGCGTGTCTGCTCCCTCTGCCAGAAACAGCCTTTCCTGACCACCTTACACTAATGCCTCTGCTTCCTCCCCATGGGGCTCACGCAGCTGTCTTGGGTCTCCTGGGAGCTGTAGCTCCTAGGAGCTGCAGGCGGCCAGGCTGGGACCCCAGCCCCAGGCATTGCACAGAGACCCTATTGGTGTCAGGTGCTAGTGAGTTGATTTTTAACTCACTGGACACCACGGGACAGAGCAGACCTGCCTCCACCTGGTTTCCTCGGCTGTAATCTTTATGGGAACAGTCTCCAGGTATTTCTCACTCAGAATCACTGGGTGAGTTCGAACCTCCAACCTTTTGCTTAACAATCGAGTGTTTTGGGTACCCAAAACCAAACCCAAACCCACTGCCATCGATCGATTCTGACTCATGTTGACCCCCATTGGGTTTCCGAGGCGCTCAATCTATGGAAGTAGATCGCCCTGTCTTCCTTTTGAACTGCGAACCTTCTGGTTAACAAATGCCTTAGCCACTGTGCCAACCGCACTCCTTTGGGGTACCCTGAAGGCACCTCAATTGCCCAATGTGGCCCACCTCCGTGATGTTCTTGATAACTTTGGCTTCCACGTCATATCTTTCTTCATCCACCTTGTCCACACGGGTGTGAAGCTGTCGACACAAGTCCTGGTGGAGAAACATGGAGTGTGTGGGTCGGGGAAGGACGGGGGCCCGGACGCCAGGCTCTGATGGACGGACGAGGCACTGGAATTCCGGACTCGCGGGTCTGGGGGCAGACGGGGCTGGGGGCCTAGACTCCCGGGATGTTGGAGGAGGAGGGAGCTGGAAACCTGACCCTCTGGGCCCATAGGAGGAGCAGACTGGGAGCCTGGGCTTCGGGGATCTGCGGACACAAGGCCTAGGAGTCAGGACTCAGGAGCGGCTGCAGGAATTGGGGCTGGAAGCACGGACCCCCGTCAGCCCTTAGACAGCTGCAGACCCTGTTTCTGAGAGGCAAGGCCCGGCAGGTCGGATCTCTGGGTCCTGAGCAGAAGGAGGGATTGTAACGGACTTCTTTCCACAGGACGCAAGGCCGGAGACTAGGAACTTCGGCCCCCGGCCGCGCTCAGGAGTCCCTGCCCTGGGAGCCGGTACCTGCAGCTCCGCGAAGCCCAAGCCTGCCAGCTCCAGAGGCTGGCACCTGGAGCTCAGAGCACGCCCCTTCTCTCCGCGCCGCTCCTCTGCTTCCTGCTCCAGCTCCTGCTTCGCCATCTGCAGCATCAGGATCTGCGAGGGGTTCGGGGACCCCGCCGGGGAAGTCACCGCTGCCGGCCCTCTAACGCCAGGCCCGCTTGGTCCTGCGTTTCCGGGAGACCAGCTCCCCCCGCGCAGGCCTCCCTCATCTCACCGCACTGCTCCTCCCTAAGCCACACCCCTGACGTAAAACCACGCCCACCACGCCCACCACCTAACGTCCTAACCCTCAAGGTTGAGGGTTCCACATTCCAAAGTCTCGCACGCCCTAAGTCACGCCAGACATAAACCAGGCACATCTTGCCTGGTCCCATAGCCTCATCCCTTAAGGTTGCTGGTCCATCACCTCAAAACCCAGTCCTTCTCTTGGCCACGCCCCTGATGTAAAACCACGCCCATCCCGCCTCCACCCCAGCCCACCCCACCCCCGCTGCTCCCCCTCAAGGTTGGGGACCCTCTCAAAGCACCCATCCTCTGTTCGCCACGCCCCGGATATAAAACCACGCCCACCACGCCCACCCACCCAAGCTCCACCCTTTGGAGAGTCATCGTCTCAAACACTCACCCCTCCCTTCGCCACGCCCCTGACATAAAGCCACGCCCACCCATCAGCTTCCAAAGCGTCACCTTTTAAAGTTAGTGTCCATCATCTCAAAGCCCCACGCCTCTGATGTAAAACCACGCCCACCGCACCTCCCCCCCAACTCCACCCCTCAAGGTTGGGGTTCATCATCTCAAAACCCCACCCCTCTCAGCCACGCCCCTGATGTAAAGCCACACCCACCTGGTTTGGTGCCAAGTCCTACCCTCTCGTACAAGGGAACCTCCACTCCAAGCAGCACTTTAACTTTTAAGCCCTGCCCCTTTGAAGACCCCCCTCCCCGCCCATCCTCACCTTCAGCTGCAGTTTTCGCGAGGCCGAGATCTTAGACTTTTTCTGGAGGGTAAGATGGAGCAAAGAAAGGTCAGGAGGGCAATCAGAACTCACCCCCCTCAAATCAGGGCTAGCCCGCCCCCAATTTCCACTCCAATTTCCATCCACCAATCTGAGGCTCTGACTCCAGCTAAGCCCCGCCCCTCCATTCCCTGACGAATCGCAGGTCCCATGGACGTTGAAGCTACACCCATGAGCTGCTTCTCACCATTCGGAGCCAGCCTTCCGTGAAACCCCGCCCATCGTCCCCCTGGGGCTCCGTCCAAGTCCCGCCCCCTTGTGAACCCGCTTCACCAATCGGAGCGCAGACTCAGCTAGGTCACGCCCCTGGCACCTCCCACTACGCTGAGCGGGTGAGAGCGCCGCGTGGTTTGCAGTCACCTTGGCGTGCGGCTCGGTGGCGTAGGCGCGGTAGTTGGCAGAGGAGCGGCGCCGGACCGGGGCGGGCGCGGGGCGCGGGTCCCCGCCCTGGGGTTGGGTGAGCAGGGCCGCGTCACCTGCGGGACTGCAGGCGGCCCCTCCCCACGCCCGGTCCTAGGCCCACAGCCTCCCTCCCAGCCAGCCCTCCCTGCACACCACTGGGGGTCCCCGCCACGTCTTAGCCCCCTGCTCACCGCATCGCTGCTCCTGTAGGGGAGACACGGGAAAAGAGGATGCATGTTGACACTGTGCTGTGCAGTCCGTGTCCTGGGGGAGGCCTCTCTGACCCAGCGGTCCCAGCCACCAGACCCCCCCTTGCTGGGGTTCCAGGAATCTGATCCTCAAACTTAACCTTTGGAGACCTAGGGGCCCATTCCACACCTCCCTTCTCAGGACAGCGGCCCAGCCTCGCAGCTCTTACCCGGCTTCCGGACCCAGGAGGTCGCCCCCACCTCCCACTACCTTGGGGTCTCACTCACTCGTCCGCCATGCTGAGATCCGAGTCTGGGCTGGTGGGTGGGAGGCAGAAAGGGGCCAAGGGTCTCTCAGAGGGTGAGTTTAGGGGCGTCCGGGGTGACCTTGCGGGCCCCGGGACGCTGGGTTTCCTCCTGGTTGGTGAAGCCTCCCCCAGGACACTGAGATAGAGGACAGGGGCTAAATATACTGCATCTGCCTCCGCCCCCACTTGGGATGCGAGATAACGGGGCGCGTGAGGGGTGGGGCTGGCCGCGCACCAGCGGGATCGTCCCCCAACTCGGTGACCTGGACGTCCTGTCAGCTCATCCCCCAACCTGGAGTGCAGGGTCCCCCCCCC